TGTGGGTGTGGGTGTGGGTGTAGATGTTGGTCTTCCGTTCCTTCACACCCGCACCTACCCCCACCCCACACCCACACCCACACTCACCACCGCCACACACCCACACCCACACCCAGACCCACACCCACACCCACATCCACACCCACCCACACCCACACCCACCCCCACCCACACTCGCACCCACACCCTCCTTGTTGTTCCTACAAAAGAAAAGATTTTCTGTATCATAAATGCGATATTTACTTGTCGGTTTATTGAGTAAATCATTATTATATCATCGTGCTAACTATTCAACAGTATCTAATATATTTCGAAGATATTCTGGATATTGTGACTAAAGATGAATTTCCACAATCAGAAGGTGAACTATAATCATTTCCATTCTGACTACCTTTAGTTGAATGATGTGATATTCAAACAATTAAATTATATTTTGATGCCCATTTTCTCGAATAGCTCGATCGAAATAATTAATTGCATCAGATGCATAAAATTTCCATCCATCTGGATCACCACCAAGTTGATTATCAAAACCAGTCATTTCACGAAAGTCTCCTTCAATTGTAAATGTATCATGATGTTGTTTGAGGTACGCGATCAGCTTTGATATCATTTTTCAGATTTTGAAGTGCATTTTTAATTGAATACAGGCATGTTATCAAACGAAATTTATTTTAAATATTCACCTTTGTGTTGTAGCAAAAAACATATTAATGACCAACAAACTTAAGAATAACCAAACATTGGCTATTTTCCTCATGGTAACTGATTTTTCAACTGATTTTATCTATGCACATTTTCCATACTTGCTATATACTTATTTATAAGCTTGTCATTATCAATAAGAAAAAAACAGATTGACTCCTCGATGAAAAACTTAACTATAGATTCTCTTATTCATCTACTTCTCACAATGTCCTCAATGGCTGATTTTGAGAGGGGTACGAAGGAGCGTTCGCCTGCTCTTACCTAGTCGAACTTCCTGCATGAGGTTTTTTTCATTTTTTTTTTAGTCAAAATGAATGACCATCCATCCGAAGCGGCTGTGTCATAGTACACTGTTTCAATATTTTGAAAATAATAAAATCGGATTTATGTTTCACAATTTTCCATACACATGTTGGTAAAACCTCGATTTGACTTGCAAAGACTATGATTTATTTAAAAAAATAATCAAAACTAGGCAAAAGAGTTCGACATCTGGCTCTCGATCATTTTTTTTTTGTTTTTCTTTTTTCTAAATGAATGTCTTTTTCTATTTATATGTGATGTAAAATGCCACTGGGATGGCATACATATAGGAATACGTAGTCGAAGAAAAAAATGAAACATCTCTCTGCAGCCATATTTGACTATATAAAAATGTTATTTTTTTTCCTCCAAGGCGCAGAGTGCTGATGAACAAAGAATCAATAGATACGGATATACATATCGTGTTACGAAAAGCGTTACAACCATATTAAAAGATGAATCAACATTATGCTCATCATCTTGATCTTCCTAATGAAATATTATTTCACATTTTGAAAAAACTTGTCAATATTAATGTTCTTTATTCTTTACTGGGTATCAACAATCAACGACTTAATATTATAGCATAAGAACAAATCTTTGCTAATATCCTTAATTTTGTTTCCATATCACAGTCAACTGATGAAATTTCTTCAATTTCTGGTTCAATACTAAATCGATTTTGTATTGATATATTGCCAAGAATTCATAAATGGTGGAGTGTAGGTGTGGGCATAACTGTGTCTCATAGTCTTCTCTTCTACCACATCAACATCCACACTCACACCTTTTATTTTCCTCGCTCTAAATTTCAACATCGTTTTTACAATCATGTTTTATATGATAAAAATATATTACGATAAAATAAATATCTCAATTTGTAACCCAGGCTTCTAAGTATTTAAAAATTGGACTGTCTTTTCTATTTATGCTTATATGAAGGAATACAACAATTCTCATATGAGATTTCGTCTGAAAAACTAGTGCATTTCCTAGTCCACTTTTCCCAGAGAAATCTCCGGGAAATCATAAATTCGTGGGGACTTCCCGGGGATTTCTCTGGAGAAAGTGGACTAGGGTTAGAAAAACCTCTTTTTCCACTTTTATCACGAATAAGAACGATGAAAATTTTAAAAGAATCTAATTGCAGGTTTCAATTTAAGAGATTAAACTGGAATCGAAAGCTACTCTAGCTGAATCAGGTGAAAATACAACGTTCAACATAGGTAGGATCAACTATATTGCCATTGCAGACAATTATCAAAATATTCGTCTTGTCTCTTATAAACAATCTCACTGAATGAGTTGACGTGGCTATTTTAATTATCCAAGCTAGTTTATATTACGATTTTAGACAGAAGAAGTGTTAGCTTGGATGGCATTATGCTATATTTAGTTTCTTCATATCAATCATCGTATCGTTTATCTCAGTAACCAGAGAAGACAAACAAGAGGAAGAGAGAACGAGATGAGGTAGATGAGAATAATAGGAAAGGTCATTATTAAGAAGGATAAATGTATTAGAACCGTTACAACAGTCGATGTGCTAATTAAGAATATACATAGTTACGAAAGAAGAGAAGAAAAAATATATAGTGATACGACATGTCAAGGAGAGGTTGGAATATGATTTAAAGAATGTTTCATAAGTAATGACTCCGTTTTTATTTTTGTTGTACTTTTGTCATATTCAAAGATGGAAACTTATTGAATATATATATTTGATTTGATAAGAATATTGAAAAATTTAACTACGAACTCAATATTTTGTAAATAGTTCTGTTAGTTTGTGATGTTGTACCTTGAACTTTTTACAAAGGATAGCATGAGCAATTCTCTACAAAACACAAGAAAAAAGATCCACTTTCACAAATACATTTTTAAAAAACAAATTTCAGACCATTTTATGTTATTGTTTTGAAAAGCTTTTGTCTTCGGACTTTGTTGAGAATTGCACATTTCCATCTTTGAATATGGTAAAGATACAGCAAAAATAAAAATGGAGTCATTACTTTTGAAACATCCTTTATAAGCAATGAGTTCAAGCAAGAAATGAGAATATACAACGATACTCGATTAATTCAGTCGAGAGAGTCGCAGTTTGTTCTTTATGTTAACGAGTTATTCCCTCATGAGAATAAAAATCTCGGGAATTTCCCAACTATTCTGCGCCATACTTTTGTTTACTGACGAAATGCAAGCAATTTAGTATCCAAGCCACTCCTATTTTTCTTTTTCCTTTCCTGTCATCATATCATATCGATAGTGTGAAAAGTCTTTTGTGCTACGATGTATATCTCCTTTTATCTAGAAAATATCATTGATAGATACATGCTCAGCTTAAACACAGAAACAGATCCTAATGACTTCATTCATCAATTCACTATCTTCATTGTCGATTTCAAATCATTGGTTCTCGATAAGTTAGTAGTGGTGAAACTGCTTTATTGTATACTCAGTTCAGATAGGTTTCATTCAACAAAATTCGTATACTAATGTTGAAACAATTATCCTGTGATAGGTTCCATCAGCCCACACAGTATTATCATGATACAATAGGTTTTGACATATGTGTCATCATCAAAACAAAAGCGCCCTACTGAAAAGTTAAGATACTAGTGTCATATCGGTCGAGTAACATTTTGCTGCACTCAGTCATTTTTACATGCAAGTACTCGTAGAAATTGGGAAACGGCTATATTTACAGAATCTATTTTAGTTTTCAATAATTTTCGCTTGAAGTGTAGATACTGAGAATGTGGGTAACCTCAAAGTTATGTTGGGATCGCTAGAAAAATAAGTCGCTCAAGTCGCAGCTGAAGATGCTAACAATGACAATTTACCGTGTACATAAACATTAGCATGCCAATTTATTCATCATATCTCTTTGTGCATGTTACATACAATATCCTTTTGTCAACAAAATATTAAGACTTCAATTCTATTGAGTTTTCTTTGTGCATTTCAGATAAAAACTATCTAATCAATGGAACATCATCAATTGCGTGCCTATCTATTAAAACTTCAAGATCGTTTGAATGATAATGATCGAAAACGTCTACATTTTCTCTTTGGTAACGATGTTTCACCACAAATTCGTGATGATCCATCACTTGGTGGCACTCTCAGTCTTATAGAATCTCTCTTCGATCAGGGCAAAATCAATGAACAAGATGTCAGTGTTCTGATAACAGCATTCAATGAAATTCAATGTCATAATGCGGTCAGAGTATTTCAAGGTGCATTTTTCTCTTGTTCTCTGTGTGCGATCAGAATGTATCGCTGTTTCTGGTTTATTTAGGACAAATGCAACAACTACAGTCAAAGGCGTCTAATGAACCATTACCAAGTTTACCACAAATCAACTCAACAACATTTCATCAACTCGTAGAAGATCAAGAAGATAAATATAGTGCTCGAAATAGTAAGTAGGAAATAATGGGTACAACAGAAAATATGCGTCTCTTAATATTTTGTTTATAAATGACTGGTAGTTTCATTTCAACTCTAATACCAGAGCTTTTTTCTCAAAGATGAAGCGTGAATTTTTCTGCAAAATGCTATGTCTGACTTAGTTTGAATATATTTGACTGGCTTGAAAACAGATCGGATACAGTATCTAAAAAGAATAGCCAACATATTCCAAAATGATCATTTAAAAAGATTTGTTGTAATGAGTTTTCAACATATTGTTATGTCTCTAATTAAAAAGGGTTATGCTAACACTTGATTTTCATTCGTTTTTATATACCTATTTGATCAAAATAAGAAAATTTACAGTATTTTGTTTACATGATCAATTTGTATTAAATCATGAATGAAGATTAGATTTGAATGAAATCAGTTCTTATTTGAGAAATAACTATATAACGAAACTTTGTTTTAAAAAAACGATATTACAATAATTATTTTCGAAAGTGCAGATGATTCATTCAAGAAATTGCACAATTAATAATTTCTAATTGAAGTTAATTGTAAGGCGCCCGCAAGTCAAAATTACAGCAAGATTTTTTTTTCTCGATTTTTATATATGGTTGGATAGAGCATAGCGTCTTACCTAGGAAACAATATTTCTTAAGTTTTGAAAACGACTTTTCCTCTGAAAAAAATTTCAAACATGAAGTTTTCA